CAGTGACACACGCTGATGGGGAAGTGAGACACAAACCCCTCCCTGCCTGGGCCGCCCTGTCCTCAGCCAGGGGATGGACACAGCCACGGTCAGTGCTGACCAGGGCACAGCTCGGCTGCGCTTCCTGCCCCTACTGACTCTACTCATTGCCAGGCACACAGGGTCGGGGTGAGGAAGGCGCAGGGTGCACAGGCCCCGTCCCTGGGACATCCTGTGGGCCCAGCCCACACACGCACACTCATGCAGGGTTCTGTCGCCCTGTGCGTCTGTGATAGTCATCAGGGCATGTGGCCCCCTCCGGGGACATCGGAACCTCCAGGCTGGCCTGCTGCCTTGAGGACATAAACGTCCCAGCCAGGTACAGGCTGGAAGGTCGCCACAGTCTCAGCGTCCAGGTGCCTGCGGGCCAAACCCCTGGGGGACACGCAAGGCCTCGAGGCCGACGAGCCCCACCGCACCCCTGAGACCCAGCGAAGTCGGGGACGTCACCCTGAGGTCAGAGCTCCCGGTGTGGCTCAGCAGGTCGCGTATGGGGGCAGGGAGACCGGGGTGCGTGGCGATGTCCAGGGTCCTGTAGGACAATCGTGGCCTAGCTGGGAGACGGGCAGCAGACAGACCAGTGAGGTGGAGGGTCACTGTGACCCTGTCAGGGGCTCCAATTCCTGAACGAGAGCGGCAGAGACTTCGATGTCCAGCGCAAGACGCTGACCTCAGCAACCATGCAAATCCGTCTCTGTGCTGAGCGAGCAAGTGTCCAGCACGCCGTGAGCGAGGACGTCCAGGGCGTGCATGCCTGGCTCACCGTGGTCGGCTGGGGCAGGAGCCGCCTGCGTCTCTGTGGCAGGAAGGACTGGAAATACCTGGCCCTCGGGTGGAGGTGAACCCGTGCTAGGACCGCGTGGCAGAGCTGATGCCCTGGTAGGTGACCGCTGGGAGAGGTCGACTCCGGCAGGCCAGGCCCCCTGTGCTGCTCCTTCACGCGGGGACAAACTCGGGGCGACGGGTGGTGCCTCAGGCTCCCCTGACCCCCGGGGGTCAGCAGCTGGGGGTCAGCAGCTGGCGGTCAGCCGCCCGCCGGGGTCCCCGGACAGTCCCCCGCATCTGCCACCCTGGTCACCTGCTCCGCCCTGGCCCCGAGGGCTGGGGCACACTCACCCCTCTCTGCCTCCCCCTGGCCTCCAGACACGGTCAGGCCCAGGTCCTGCTCCCAGGTCCTGGGCCTCTGCACTCTGTCCTTGGTGGTAGCCGTCACCCCATGGCCCTGACGCGGCTCAGAGACAGGGACAGACACACCTGAGGGCTCTGACCTGGACCGCAGAAGTCAGCTTGGTCAGCCACAGGCACCCCGAGAAGCAGCGAGAGCATGGGCGTGGTCAGTGCTTGCCCAGGGGACAGAGACCCCAGGAGGCAGCGTCCTGCAGCGGGAATCAGCCCAGCACCAGCTCTCAGCTGCTCCTGACAGGCCCAGCCCAGCGCTGAGCAGCTGCGGGCGGCCCCCAGGGGGCAGCATAGAGTCGCCTACAGGGGCCTGGAGCAGGGGACCTGGGCACAGGGCCAGTGGCAGGGGCCAGAAACCACCCCGCTGCTGCGGCCTGGGACTCCTCCCTGGAGGATCTTCCTGACTCGGCTGCAGTGTGGTCCCGGGGACCTGACGGGAACCTGGTGGGACCGGCCTGCTTTGCCCGGGTGAGACTGTCCGGTGCCCCCACCGGTCACCGTCCACCGCCACCCCCCGACCACAGGCCGCCCCCTCTCAGGCCCAGGGCCTGTGCTACAGCCCAGTGTGTCTGTGACCTCATGTCTCGCTACCCCTGACCCTGCCTCTGTTTGTCCCAGCAGCCACACGGAGGCTTCCCGCTAGCGGTCTCACCGTGGGAAGTGTCCTCCCGTCCGTGACCCTCCTGGCATGGCGGACGGGTCATCACGTCCATGCCAAACCCGTTGTCCTCACTGGGAGATGATCGTGGAGACGGTCACTGCCCACCACCCACCGGGTTGCACACAACAGCCCTTAGCCTCAGGCCTCCGAGGATCCTGGCTGCGTGTGGGGTCCCCAGTAAACTCCCCTTCCCCCTGCTCCCCGGGTCCCCGGGGACTGATCTCCCCTAGCCACACAGCTCCCCCAAAAGCAGCTGGGCTGGCTGATTTGCATACCGGCA